CCTGGTCAGGCTGTCATTGCCTGCAGCCCTGGGTTGTGAGGGTTGCAGTCAGAGCAGCCCCACAAGCCACCACCACCAGTACCTGAAGTGGAGCCCGGCCAGGGCAGGCCCCAGACTCCCGAGGAGATAAAGGGTGGAAAAACCTCACTGTGGGCGTCAAGCTTACACAACCCACCTGCAGCCACAGTAACAGGACACAAGGTGAAGCCAAGGATGGCAGACCTCATGCCATAAGTCATCAACTAGAAAGACACTTGTTTTAACTGACCCAATTTTGACATTGGAAACTAAACAATTCCTTTCCACTTCTAGTTAGTGGACAGCCACATGTGAAAAACTAGATAAATCCTCAGGCTATTTTGCTCAATGAAGGGAGCTTGGTGTTTTCTTTACTAGACTGAAGGTGTGACTCAATGGTAACGCACCTGCCCAGCAGGACCAAGCCTTTCAATTCAAACTGGCAGAAAAAAGTACTACAAACTGTGCCTTTTCTTTTTTTTTGTTGGTCGTGGGGCTTGAACTCTGGGCCTGAGCACTGTCCCTCAGCTCTTCAGCTCAAGGTGAGCGCTCTATCGCTTGAGCTACAGCGCCACTTCCAGTTTTCTGGTGGTTTATTGGAGATAGGAGTCTCACGGTCTTTCCTGCCCGGGCTGGCTTTGAACCGCGATCCTCAGATCTCAGCCTCCTGAGTAGCTAGGATTACAGGCGTGAGCCACCAGCGCCAGGCTGCCTTTTCTTTTTCTGGCCAATCCTGAGTCTTGAACTCAGGGACTGGGCACTGTCCCTGAGCTTCTTTTGTTCAAGGCTAGCACTCTACCACTTGAGCCACAGCCCCACTTCTGGCTTTTTCTGTTTATGTGGTGCTGAGGAATCAAACCCAGGGCTTCCTGTAGGCTGGGCGAGCACTCTACCAAGACACAGTCCCAGTCCAGATTGTGCCAATTTTGAAGTGGAACTTTCAGGCTTAATTTTCAGAAACACGTTTATCAACCACATTAGCAGGTGGTAGGTTTTCAGGTGTATAAAGTGAGTCATGAGGTTCATGTTTTGGAGACACGGGCCACGCACCGGGCAGGAACCCTTCAAGCATGGTGTGCAAGTGTGCAGCGGGGCCCACGGCAGCAGTCCTCAGGCTGCTTCAGGAAATTCCTTCCGGTAACACCTCATGCAGCATGAAGGCCAGCTGCACTGTGTGGTGCTGTTTGTCAGAAACAAACTTTGACCCGTCTAAGAGCCTTCTGATAAGAGTTGTGCAGGTGCATCTTTTGTTTGCAGGTGGATCTTCACCTGTGCTGGAGGCGAGCAGGTCCGGTTCACAGGTGAAGAGCAACAAGCTGGGAAGGAGTGAGGGGAGGTTCTTGGTGGCGGGTGCCAGCGGAGCCTGGAGACTGCCTTCCTCCCCTCCTTCCTTGCACTCCCTCAGGCCTCTGTGCTGCTGCTCCCAGGCTCCCACCAGCCAGGTTCAGCGCACCTCACAGGACCCACAGAGGACTGAGGCTCAAGTGGTAGAGCGCTCACCTTTAGCTGAAGAGCTGAGGGACAGCGCCCAGGCCCGGAGGTCAAGCCCCATGACCAACAGAAAAAACAAAACAAAACCACCTCAGAATATTGGCTGGGTTCCAGCAGCTGGAAGTCATAATCCTACTCTGGGGACCAAGGTCTGAGGATCGCGTTCAAAGCCAGCCCAGGGTAAGTCTGTAAGAGTGCCATTGGGGTAATGACCAAGATGCCAGATGAGCAGCTGTGGCTCAAGTGGTAACGCACTACTAGCCTTGAGCAAAAAAAGCTCAGGGTCGGAGCCCAGGCCCTGCACTCAAGCTCCAGGACCAGGAGATGCACAAAAACACCTCCAAATTGGAAACTGCCCTCTGTACTTGAGCTGTGGTGTGCGGGAGACCAGGGCGCGGTGAGCCGGCGTCAGGGGCTCCCCCAGAGGCTCCACGGGCCGGTCAGACTTGCGCCCAAGGGCCCTGGAGCCTTGCCTGGGGCCCCTCGGGCCAGAGCCCGGGCTGTGCCCGCCAGGTGTGCCCGCCCCGCGGTCAGGTCGGCCCGGTGCGCGTGCTGGGGTGGGGTCGGGGGGCTCCCCGGGGTCAGGGCGCCGGACTGCCCGCCCCGCCCCGGCTCCGCAGCTTCCTGTTGAGAGCAGCCTCGTGGTCGGCAGGGCCGGAAGCTCTGCCCTCCGCGCACCTGCAGGGGTCAGAACAAAACAATGCTGGGCCTTCCTTCAAGTTTCCAAACAGGAAGAAAAAGAACAGAAAAACGAGCCTGGTTTCCTCCGGAAGCAGCGGGGCCGGGCGGCCCGCGGCCCCCACGCTGGGCCCGCACGCATCATGATCCACGGGGAGCCCGGGGCCCGGGGCACAGCGGGGCTCAGGACGCCTTTGGCCACCAAGGTGGGGAGCGGACTCAGCCTTCTCCCCTCCTCCCCACCCCTGCCCGGCCTCAGCGCCTCCCCGGCCCGGCCTCAGCGCCTCCCCTCCCCGGCCCGGCCTCAGCGCCTCCCCTCCCCGGCCCGGCCTCACCTCCTCCCCGGCCCGGCCCTGCCGCGCCTCCCCTCCCTCTGACCTTACACACCATTGCTGACAGTGCCCACCGGCCCGCGATGGGCTGGAGCTGTATCCATGCCAATCCCCTTGGCTTGAAAAGGATCATGGTTTCTGCAAAGCCAACACCTGGGAGAGGGTGGAGCCCTCGTGTGCGTGGGGGAGCCCTCGTGTGCGTGGGGCCCTCGTGTGCGTGGGGGAGCCCTCGTGTGCGTGGGGGAGATCTCGTGTCGTGGAGGCCTCGTGTGCGCAGAGGGACCGGGGTGTCTGGGACGAGTTCAGCTGCCGTGCCGTCGGAAGGGGTGGACTGCGCAGAGGCTGGGGAGGCAGAGTTGTTGAGAGTTGTTGTTCCCGAACTCTGGGCCTGGGCGCAGTCGCTCAGCGCCACTTATGTGGTGCTGAGGAATCGAACCCAGGGCCTCCGGCATGCAAGGCAAGCGCTCTACCACTGAGCCACCTTCCCAGCCCCGAATTCCCACGTGTCCAAAGCCTCCCCCCTCCCCCCTGTAGCCTGGATGGGGCCTGTGGGGGCGGGGCCTGTGGGGGCGGGAGGCGGGGCCTGTGGGCGGGGCCCGTGCCTGTGGGCGGGGCCCGCGGGAGGCGGGGCCTGGGAGCCGGCGGCCGCGCTCTGGCGCCGGCGGACGGACGGCGGACAGCAGACAGCAGGGCGGCCCCCAGCGCCTCCTCGGAGCCCCGTGAAGCAGAATCTCAGTCCTGCGCCTGCGCGTGGCGAGGGCCGGCGAGATACTGGTCTCCGTTCCTTCCAAGAAGACGGCCGACAGGCCGGGTGGATGGCGGCCCTCAGGAAGTGCGCCGCGCCCGCCCAGCCCGGGAGGCCCGCCACGCT